GTAGATTATGGAGCTTTCAGGATTAAAAGACGGAATATTGAAAAATGTTACTTGAGATATAGTTCTTTAAAAAATACAAGCTAGGAATTTATTTTTAAATTATGTCTGGTTGTTGGACTCACTCCATAAAAGGGAGTTTCATTTTATAGTATATTGAACCAAAGTTCCTAAACCTCCACTCATTCCTTCTAGTACTTCTCTTTGGTACTATTCATTACACATTTAGCATGTAATTATTGAGTATTTGCTGAGTGCCAGGGGCCATTCTTGACGCTAAGTAAAGAAAGCAAGCATAGAGTTCTTGCCCTGATGAACTAGATTCTAGGAAAAAACAAAAGCAAAAACCAAAACAAAACAAAAACCAAGTTGTAACCAAAGGAATCAAACAAAGTTGTGATAAATGTTTTAAATAAAATGAATAGATTGCTGAGATAGAGAATAATAGGAGAAAGCCTACTTCTCATAAAATTTTCACAGAATGTTTTTCCAATAATGTTAAGACCTGAAGGATAAGAAGCTAGCCATGCAAAATATAGGAGAGTGTTCTAGATAAAGCAAAGAACTTGCACAGTGACCTGAGGCTTGGAGTAACTTGTTTTATTTGAGTGGAGTTCAAGGGACTGACTGCATGAAATCCAATGTTGCAGGAGTATGATTAACAAAGTCAAGGGTAGCATGAGATGAATTTGGCTTTGTGGTTCAGGGCCATATTTTGCTGGGTTTTGCAGTTTACAGTAATGACTGGGCACCTTGGATAACTATTAGGGGATTTAAAGCTAAAATAAATATCAGATTTATCTTTTGATAAATGTGAATGAATCTTGTAAGAGCCAGGGTGAAGGCAGAAACCAACAGAAGGCCATTTGTGGCTGGAAAGGATGATTAAAGCTTACACTAAACAAGTAATGTGAAAATAAAGAGAAGTAGACAGATTTGAAATACATTTAGGAAGGAGAATTGACAAGATTTGCCGATGGCTTAGATAGAGAGTTTCAGAAAGAAGGAAAAAATAGAGAAAAAATTCTGTTTTTGTGGTTTGAACAAGAGAATGCTATCATTTTATAAGATGAGGGAGATGGCAATCTGGGGAGGTAAGAAGCCTGAATCTCTCTTTGTTGCCTTTTTTCTACTCTGGATTTAAATATGGCTTATGTATATAGGGCTTACTTTAAAACTAATTCAGTAGGTAGTCTGCTCTCTTTTCACATTCCAGGTTTTCTATCCTCATCTGAAAATATGTTACCCTGACCTGACACAGTGCTTCAACTGTGGTTCTGATCAGAAATTTGTGATCTGTGATTTTCTTCATTCGAGATAAAATGCTTAATATAGCATAAAGTCATCACACAATGTACTCTTGATTTACTCTTAACTAAAATATTGTATCCTATTATCACTTATGACTTTAAATCACTTTATGTATTGCAGTGATTTTATGCATTTTGCCCAACTGTAATATTTATTTCTATTATACGTCATGTTTAATTTGATCTATTGCTCCACTCTACTGATAATATTTAAAACTTGTGTCTGGTGTTAACTGATTTTGTTCTGTCACCACCTCACCTAAAAATTTCATAAACATTTCCTTCATTATTATTCAAATCATTTGTGTAAATGTTGATCATGATAGGGCTAAGAACACATCTGTGTAAGATATTAGAGATCTCACTTCAGGTTGTATCATTGTATTAATCCTTACTCTTCTTCATTTGATGACTTAACATCTCTGATCTCCATCTAATCATGTTGCCTTCCAAAGTTGTGAAAATGTTTCTCAACCATATTACTAAAATGCAGGTTTATCATGCCAAGTATGTTTGACTTGAATTAATTTTGACCCTGTTAAAAATGAAATTATACCTAATGTAATCAGTTGTCAACTTATACTGCTCCCTGGTGATTATCCCTCTTCCAAATGCCACCAAAGATCCTCAAAAGTATTTCTAGAATTATTGAGGACCAGTGTTAGGTTTAAGGTACTTCAGTTAATAGAAACTGTTATGCTAGCATTAAACTGTTAATACTTTATGTTATTGAAAACACTATATTTATTAGATTATCCCCAGTCTTCTGATAACTTTAACCTTCTCCATGAGTTTGAATATCAATAAGTGGGCATATCCTTTCTTTTCCTTCTTGAAGTATATACACAGAAAAGCGCACTTTCTTTACCTTGGCAGCTTGTGTAAGCCTCAGTTCGCTTAGGACATAGATGCATCTTCCTAGATGTGTTTCACTATCATGTATGGAGGCTTTGTCATGGATTCTTTTATAAAAGCCAAGGAAGATAAAATTATTTTAAATGATGACAAGCAGTGACATGTGGATATATGAAAAATGATAACTGGGAGAGCTAAAGAAAATATATTTTTGAAAGGAACTAACTAGCTATGCATTTAATTTTTAAATAGAATACAAATATGGAAAATTTATATTTTAAATATCTATGTAATCTAATTTTTAAATATCATGATTCTATACATTGACTTTTTTTGTGATAGAGATTGGCTATTCAGATCTGACAGATATGCACTTATTTTAAAAATTTACTTATTCTTTCAGGGGAAGCCAAATAAATATGTATTATTAGAAACAGATTGCTGAACATGTCCTTGCATTCTAAAGGGTCCATTTATATTGAAACAGAATTTGAGGTGATTTTTAACATACAGTGAATTGCATTGTTAGTAGGGAGATACAAGTTATGAAAATAGAGCAAAATTTATAGAAGTAAGAAAAGACAAAATTGATGATGCAGAGGACAAATTGAAGAGGACTGATAGATGAATTTGAGGTTGAAAAAGCATTTAGAGTTGATTGTAACATATCTGATGGCTAAACAGTTGCCTATATTATTTTTGTATACTTTGTTTAATAGGAAGAAAGGAACCCAAATGAAAATAGAAGCAACATTACTTAAAATAATGTTATATTTTGATAATGTGTTAATATTGTGTTATTATAATTATTCTTGACAAACTTAGGAAAGCAATTTTAATATAAAGAGAACATATAGGCTCAGAAGTAACTGCTAGTCTTTCTAGCAAAAAGTAGCATTTTTGTCACGTGAAGACTGGAAAGAAATTGTGTTGTGTAACAGTTGACTAGTGAGGGATTTTTCGTGAAGAATAAAAACAGGTTCATTCTAGGACCTCCTAATACCTAGTACCTATCTTGAACATTTAAAAAAAATGAAAAAAGAAAACCTTGCACAATGAGTCACCATATAGAGACAGATTGTTTTCAGTAAATTAAAGAATATCACATGTAAAATTTAAAAGATAGAAACTCAAGGAGATTTGATTAAATACATCTATTTTGTGCTGTAGGAATTTTGGCAGAAAACTGTAAATATAGAGTACCAAGACACATATCCAAGTTTCTCTTCTAAATTGTAGAATAAAGGATATTTGCACAAGTGGATAGGTCAAAGTAGGGGAAATATGATAATGAGCTTTTTATTTCAAAATTCTATCTGCTGTCACATATTAGAGAGTTTATGTGACTCTCCTCTTCTTGGATGAAGGTGGTGCTATTCACCAAAACTAGATATAATAATTAACAGATTCGGAGGAAAGAAAGGACTTAAATTATATTCAATATGAGATATCTGTGAGATTTTCCAGGGTGAAAGAACACGATTTATGGTTAGTAATGAGTACTACATAAAAAACAAACATCTCAGAAAGGAGTACTATCTGAAAATATATACTTGAGAGTCTTCGGAATTTAGGCCAGTGGAATTCATCAAGGAAAGCATGATATCCTGGGAAGGTTTCTTAAAATACAAATGTATATTCCCTCCCAAATTCTGGTCTTTACTCTGTGGCAGACTGCGGTTCCTACCAATATCTCTCCTTTTCTTTCTTGATAATAAACCCTAAATTTTATTCTAGGCAGAACATTACCTAGCAAAAAGACTGCATTGCTTATCCTCCCTGTAAGATATAAACAGAAGTTATTGGAAAGACCTCTGGGAAAGTACCTTAAGACCCATGGCCAATGTCCTTTTGTCATTTTACCCTTTCCTCCATCTTGCTGACTGAAATACAGACATGGTGTTTGGAGCTCTAGGAGCTACCTTGACTCATGAGTAAACCTTGAAGATAGAAACCATGTAGAGGCAGTAAGACAGAGATGATAAATTTTGAAAGATCTTGGGTTTCTGGTGATCTGGTGAATCCTCTGTATCACTGGTGGATAGACTGTGAAGACAAAGGCCAATAACACAGTATTACTTATTAAAACATTCCCAACCTATTTATAGACATTGCATAGTTTACATCTGAAAGTGCCCCCAACTCCCCATGAAACTCCCTTTCAACATTCTATTTGTTATTCTTTCTACACATACCAAATCCATTTGTACTTTTAAGACTTGTGATAATTTTGGTCCCATTTCTCCTTCTTCCTTAGTATTTTTAGTATCTGTAAAATAGTTCTGTCTACCCTTGAGAAAGAAAGAGACAGAGCACAGTGGGGGAGAGGCAGACAGAGAGGGAGACAGAATCCAAAGCAGGCTCCAAGCTTTCAGCTCAGAGCCCAACATGGGGCTTGAACCCGGTATGAACCATGGAATAGCTAGCTACCTGAGCTGAAATCTGACACTTTATTGACTGAGCCACCCAGGTGCCCCTACCCTTTCTTAATCTAAATCTCCCTTCAGGCTTTCTGGGCAACACCATTTTGTTTCTCTTTGTTATTTTTTATCTTCCCCTCTGTGTTTTGTTTTGTCATGGCACCCTCCTGACATATCCCCTTTTCCCTCAACCTCCTTTTGAGCATGGTTCAAAGTATATCATTACTATTAATAGACAATTTATCAAAATCATACACAATGGAACTCTTTTCATATTTTCCTCAATTTGCCTTACAGTTTTTTGTTGTTTTTTAAAAAAATAAGATCACTCATGGTAATGTATAATAAATGTGAGAGTTTTTAAAATGTATGTAATAGATATTATTAAGGTTGTCATTGTTTTTATTTTTTTCCACAGAATATACTTTCTCATGTTGATTTAAAAAGTTCTAGAGAACAGAGAAAACATGTTTCCTCTATATTATATGAATTAAAAACAAAAGAAATTGGTAAAAAATCAAAAACATCAAGACATCTCATTCAAAAAGGTTAGTTATATGAATTTTTAAATTATATGTATGAACATATTTTGATGAAGAGTAAATTCATTAGAAATTGGGCATGTTAATTTTGAACCGTAAATATACCCATGAAATACATGTTTAGACTTCTAGATAAAATCTCCATATCTCATTTAATATTTTTAAATATACATATTCAGAAAGTTGTTTCATGGATATTAAGAACTGGGAGTGTAAGGTGGAATTAGGAGAAATAGGTATTAGCAAGAACCATATGAAATTGATAGCTTTGTTGCAGTATGGCTAGGTCAGCATGGTTCTTCTTTCAGGAAATCTGTCAAGTATCAGATTAATTAATATAAATCATTTCAATTAAATAATGATATTTAATTTCCTTCAGGCTTTGAACATAATTATATTTGTCAATAAAAATAAATTTTATGTTAATAAGATTTTGGTTGTCAAATGTGTACTTGTTTTTTTGTTGTTGTTTCTACAGAATTTTTTCTGATGTGATTTTGTTATGGCCAGATGACATTCTTTTCTTTACCTCTGTCTTTCACAGAAAAATCATATAATAATCTTTATGAAATTATTTGAAATTGTTATCAATTTCCACAAGGTTTCTCTTCAACCTTTTTAAAATTATTGTGATAAAAATATTTACCACGAGACCTACCCTCTTAATATCATTAACCATAGCCATAATGTTGCACAGCAGATCTCTAGAACTTTTTCATCTTGTATGACTGAAACTTTATACCCATTTCTCTCTTTCTCTAGCCTTTTAATTCTTAAATATTCAAATCTTTCTCTTTTTAAAAACTCATGATGGTGTCTTTATTCCCTTTTATTTTCTTTATATATGAACTGGTCTATCTCTGCCTCATGTGTCAGTGGCTTTATTTGTTATTTCATCAATTATCCATTAGTTTCCATCATAATTAATATTATTGTATATATTAACACGTTATAAATACTTTATATTAGTATCCATTGTACTTTATATATTTCATAAAGCTCTGTGTTTTTATTGATTTGTATCCAGTTATTTAACTCCTAGATTTATAAATGAAATGAAATAATGGAAAAGTTGTAGTCTCATATACCATATATTCTTCCTGGTACCCAAGACAATATCATCTAATGATTTTAACTGACTTTTCTGCTGTTTTATATTTCCAAGTAACATGCTTATTCTGCTTTTTTTTTTTTTAAGTTTTAGATACTGTTTACAGATTTCCACTGTGAGAGATGGAGATTTAATTCTCTTATAAAATCTCCCTAACACACACACTTATCATCACTATTTGGGGGTTAATTAATGTTTAATGTTTTAATTATTCAGCCTATATACATATTGCTCATGGCTGAGCTAAACAATGTATTAGGATATGTTTGCTTTCTTATATTATTTTTTTTGAAAACTTTTTTGAAAATCTCACCATTCAAACCAGCACTCATAGTGTGTGTGTGTGTGTGTGTGTGTGTGTGTGTGTGTGTGTGTGTGTATTCATGATAAATTTGCTTGAGTCTTTCCTTTTGCTGAATCAATCAGGACTGCTTGCTCTCTAAACCTGCTCTTACATCATCCATCTTAGTACATCTCTTCAACGGTGGGCCTGAGAATTTATTTGTGACCATGCTATGTTGGGACTCTAATTTCCAGAACTCTCTAATATCTTGTTCTTTCCTGGCTTATTTTCTTATTTTAATACAGAGCCTTCTCTACTAGTTTACTGAGGAAATATATACAGGAGGTAAAATTTTTAAATCCTTGAAAGCCTAAATATGTCTTTATGCTACACTTATGTTTGGTTGATGATTTGACTGTGTAGAGCTTCTTTCAGAATTTTTTCAGAATTGCTTTAGTGTGTCCTAACGTCCAGTGTTTCCTTTAAGAAGTCTATTTCCAGTTAGTTCTGAGCCTGATATTTATGAACATCTATTTATTGTTTTTCTCTTCTGACTCGAAACTTTTAGCATTTTCTTTTTTTTTTTTTTTTTAATGTGTATTTATTTTTGAGAGGGGGAGGGGAAGAGAGAGAGGGAGGGGGAGAATCCAAAGCAGGCTTTTCACTGTGAGTGAAAAGGCTGATTTGGGGCTCGAACTCACTGACTGTGAGATCATGACCTGAACTGAAGTCAGACGCTTAACTGAGCCACCCAAGCACCCCTAGCATTTTCTTTTTATACCAGGTATTCTGCAATTTCACAGTGATTTGTCTCTAGATATTTGTTTGTTTGCTTGGCCAAATTGTTTTTTGATTAAATTTATTGTAGCAATTCAATGTAAAAATTTATATCTCTCAGTTCTGGGTATTTCTCTTGTATTTTTTTATGATTATATATATATATATGTATATATATATAAATACATATATATGTATATATATATAAAACATAAAACCTAACCCTTTTAAACATTTCTAACTGTACATTAAGTATGTTTATACTGTTGTGCAAACATCAGGGACCTTTTCATCTTCCTTCTTCAATTGAAACTATATGCCCATTAAACACTAACTCCCAATTCTCCCCCACCCACAACCTCTGGAAAGCACTATTCCAATTCTGTCTGTAGAATTTGATTACTCTAGCTATCTTATATAAGTGGAATCATACAATATTTGTCCTTTTGTGACTAACTTCTTTTACTTAGCATAATGTCTTTAATGTTGATTTATGTTGAAGCATGTCATTATTTTTTCTTTTTTTTAATTATTTTAATGTTTATTTATTTATGAGAGACAGAGCATGAGCAGGGAAGGGATAGAGACAGAGAGGGAGGCACAGAATTTGAAGCAGGCTCCAGGATCTGAGCTGTCAGCACAGAGCCAGACTCAGGGCTCGAACCCACGAACCGTGAGATCATGACTGGAGCCAAAGCCGGGCACTCAACCAACTGAGCCACCCAGGTGCCCCTATTTTGTTTTCTTTTTAAAGTTAAATGAGTATTCCATTACAGTTGACCTTTGAACAACATAGTCTTGAAGTGTGCAGGTTCACGTATACACAGAGTTTTTTCTTTATACGAATACTAGTATTATAAATGTGTTTTCTCTTCCTTATAATTTTTTTCTCTAGCTTACTTTATTATAAGAATACAGTATATAATACATACAACATACAAAATATGTGTTAATTGACTACATTATTAGTGAGGCTTTTGGTCCAATAGCAGGCTATTACAGGTTAAGTTTTTGGGAAGCCAAAAGTTATACATGGAATTTGAACTGTGCAGGGGGGTGGTGCCCCTAACCCCTGCCTTGTGCAAAGGTCAACTATATGTAGATACCTTTTGCTTATCCTTTCATCTGTTAATTGACACTTGGGCTGCTTCTGTATTTTAGCTGTTGTAAATACTGCTGCTATGAGTATGGGTGTACAGATATTTCTTTGAGATGCTGATTTCCATTGGTTTGAGTATACACCCAAAAGTGGAATTGCTGGATCATATGGTAATTTTAACTTTTTAAAATACTACCATACTGTTTTCTACAGCTGTTGTACCATTCTGCATTCCCAGAAACAGTGCACAGGTCTCTAATTTCTTCACATCCTAGCCAATACTTGTTATTTTCTTTCCTTTTTTGCTGTTCCTTCCCCACTCCTCCCCCATTTCCTTATTGCTTCCTCCTCCTACCCCCTTCTTTCTCCTCCTCCTCCTTCTTCTTCTATGGTAGCCATCCTAGAGGGTGTGAGGTCATATCTCATTGTGCTTTTGTTTTGCATTTCTCTAATGATTAGATTAGTGAAGGTGAGCATATTTTCATGTGCTTACTGGTATATCTTCTTTGTAGAAATGTTTATTCAAGTCCTTTGTTGTCCATTGCCTATTTTTATTGTTTGCTCTTTTGTTGCTGTTGAAGTGTAGAATTTGTTTGTATATTCTAGACATATATATATATATATGTATATATATATATGATGTATATATATACATATATATGTGTATATATATATATATATACACACATATACATACACATATGTATGATGTATACACACACATATATATATACACACATATACATACACATATGTATGATGTATACATATATACATCATATATATACACATATATATGTATATATACACACACACACACACACACACACACACATTTCTCCTGTTCTATGGGTTGCCTTTTTACATTGTTGATAGTACCTTCATGCACAAAAGTTTTTTATCCATTTGGGGTTAATTTTTATATATTATGTAGAGTCCAACTTTACCTTTTGCACATGGAATCCAGTTTTCTGAATTCCATTTGTTGAGAAGAGTATTGAATCATCTTGATATCCATTTTGAAAATCATTTGATTGTATATGCAAGAGTTTACTTCTGAGCTTCTATTCTATTCCATTGATGTATATGTCTATCTTTTATTTATTTTTTTTTTAATTTATTTATTTTTAAGAGAGAGAGAACACAAAAAGGGGAGGGGCAGAGAAGGAAACAGAATGTGAAGCAGACCCCAGACTTTGAGCTGTCAGCGCAGAGCCCCAAGTGGGACACACACTCACGAACCGTGAGATCATGACCTGAGCGGAAGTCGGTTGCTTAACCGACTGAGCCACCCAGGTACCCCATATGTCTGTCTTTATATCAGAACCACACTGGTGTGATTACTCTAGCTTTGTAATAAGTTTCAAAATGATGAGGTATGAGAACTGTAACTTTCTTCTTTTTTAGGATTGTTTTGACTCTTTGGGGTCTCTTGAAATTTTGTATGAATTTTAGGATGGATTTTTCTGTTTCTGCTAAAATGCCATTGGGATTTTTATAAGGAGTTGATTGAATTTATAGATTACTTTGAGTAGTAGTTTAGCAATGTTATGTCTTCCAGTCCACAAACATGGGATGTTTTTTCCATTTATTTGTGTCATCTTTAATTTCTTTCAGCAACATATTGTGGGTTTCAGCGTACAAGTCTTTCGCATCATTAGTTAAATTTATTCTAAGTATTTTATTCTTCTTGATACCATTATAAATGAAATTATTTTTTTAATTTCCTTTTTGGA